ACAGCTGTGGACTTGAGTCGAGAATCACAGTATGTGGTAAAAGTTCCAAATTCGACTCAAGTCGAGATACACAGCCAGAGGGTTAAAGTAGAGGACCAGGCACCCCGGGCTGAGGTGAGGCCCCCCTGTGAGGTGAGGTGGGCCTCCCTATAGGTTTTGGAAAGACACAGTGAGATCCTGCATGGATTCTGCATTTGTGCCCACCTGAATAGGCACTTCTGCCAAGGACACGACATGGGGATCTGCACAGGCTGTCCTGGAGAAGAGTGGATGGGTTTACCAGTTCTTTCCCTTTTCACCTCACAAGACGATCTTGAAAAGAACATTCTGCCTCATGCATTAGTAAACACCCAGAGACTGGGATCGTTTTACCAGCCGTGAAGTTTACACGCTGCCTTTTTGCCCATCGCTTGCACTGGACTTTGCAGGGATTTCTGTATGTGGTACAGAGGCTAGACCAGTGGACGTGTTTTCCTGTGGCCATTAGCCCAGTCTTGATCGCTGTGCTTTCTGAGCAGCGAGTGACAGTGCCGTCAGTGCGTGCCGGACTGTGAGACTGCAGCCCCGCACACACAAACACGCACAAGCGACAGTGTGTAGGTATGTCCCTCCCCTCAGCAGTGGGCGTGGCAACAGGTTGTCATGGCGTTACGTGCGCTGGGAGACAGCAACTATGGAACTTCTTGGGACTCTACCATTCTGCACTGTAAATGGCGGGGGGGTTACAGGAAACAGGACAGGGAGACTTTTGTCAGAAAATTACACTAAATGTTTTTTTTTAAAATGCTGTAATTCTGATTTGCACTGTGGTGTCAGGGGAAATGAAATCAGTCTCGTAGGGAATATTAACAAGCTGTCATGGCTCTGCAGTCTTTAGTTCCACCCCACCAACTTCGAATAGTCCATTCTCGCCCACCCCCCCCAAGCTGAACCCTTTCTAATATTCAAGAGTCCTGTCTAGCCAGGTGAACATAAGCAGGGATGACAGTATAAACAGGAGCAGTGCTTGTTGGAGCACATCCACTTCCTGCAGTTTCTCCTCAGAGTGAAGGGCTGTGCACGGTGCAGAGTCCGCAGCCAGAGGCAGCGTTTGTGATTCACTGGACCAGCGGTTCTTGTGAATCACTCCACTGTGTGTGGTGAAATGGACTTGGGAAGCAGCTCCTGGTTCTGCAAGGGAGAACCCGGCTCCAGCCTTTCGGTGTGTCAGTGCTCCCGCAGCTGAACGGCATCCCGAATAATGGAGGGGGGCTTCGGCTCTGTCCCTATGGAGGTCTGGAGCAGTTCGGTCCCCGGTGACAATGAGCACAGCGGCAGCGGTATCCTGAGGGACGCAGAGAGCGCGCAGGACGGGCTGTGTGGGGAGCTGATGGAGGGTAAGGAGCCAGCGCTGTCTCTGTCCAGGCCGGGGGGAGCAGTGTGGGCTTTTCTGCACAGTGTGGTTACTGGTCTCAATGCGTTGGGAGTTACTGGACGGGGGAACATGTCCAGTCTGCGCTGTCTCAGATGAGCTGACTCCGCTGGAGTGCTGAGAAATCGCACTGAGTACTTGATGTTCAGTAGAGATGGACAGACATTTATCGTACCTCATCGCTGGCAAGAATGAATACTCCTTATTGTCTCTCTTTGTTTCTTGACATCTTTTCGAGTCTGTAGGTCTGTCTGACACATGCACGAACAATTAGATATGTAGCACAGTGGAATTGTGAGGCTGCTGTCCAGTGAGGGCAGTGCTGCAGTGTGCCAGGTAAATTCGCGCTGGCTGTCCAGTCGTGGGGTATCCTGCCTGCAGACAGTCAGCTGCTGGCTTTGTGGGCACAATCAGATGACAGGCTTCCTGGCTCTGTGGCTGCAGGGGTAGCTGTGCCCCTCTCTGACGACTAACAACCAGTAGCACAGGTGCCGCAGGTGAAATGAGCTGACAGCTGTGCCGCTGGCGAGTGGACCTGTGCTCGGGTCCTTGGCCTGCCCTGTGTGCTGGGTGTGCAGAGCCATGTGCTGCTCTGAGCGCTTGGGCCTGTTCCTGCACAGCCCGCAGGCATGGCTGGGGCATTGAGCTCCGGAGTGTTTACCAGCCTTGTTTACCAGCTGGTTTTCCTGGGATTAAGCCCAGAGCTTAGTGGGGCCCGTCTGCAGTCCAGTGGATTGAGGATCATCAGAGGCTCAATCCCCTGCCGCCTGGCCCGTCTGACCCCCGTGTCAATCTGCTCCTGTCCCCTAGAGGGGGCCGTCTCTGTTCTGGTGCACCGGGGTGAGACCAGAGTACAGAGCCCAGTGGTAAAGTGCCCACCTATGTAGTGAAGCAAAACACAGGCTGCGGGAAATCATGACAAAGCGAAGTGTCTTGTAAACACGGTACACATAGTAATAATAATACTAATTGCTTACACTTATATAGCTCTTTTCTAGACACTCCACTCAAAGCGCTTTACAGGTAATAGGTACCCCCCTTCACCACCACCAGTGTGCAGACCCACCTGCATGATGCACGGCAACCATAGTGCGCCAGAATGCTCCCCACACCTCAGCTATTAGTGGGGGAGACCAGGGGGAGACTGTTAAATTCACTTTTACCATAGTAAATACTCGTAACGCAACTTGTGTTTCAAACCGGAGTCAACAGCTATCAAGCCACAAGTTTCACTGTATGGGTCGAGTCCTGTGGGTTTTGGACTGTGCCGAGTACTGAAGGCTCCTGGATTGTATGGGGCGAGTACTGTGGGTTTGGATTGTATGGGCTGAGCAATGTTGGGACTGGACAGGATGAGCTCGGAGATACAGGTTCTGGACTCTTCACAGGGGTATGCATGCTAACAGCCTTTAGGATAAGGGGGATCTGTCTGTAAATCCATTGCATGTGTGGAGCCGCACAGTCTCGTCTGCACGAGGGCTGTGAACAGGTAAACATGCTGAGCCCGTGTCGGAGGTTTGAAGAGAGCATGCTGGGGGACCCCCACCGGCTCGCTCACGTGACCTGCCAGGCCCTGCCCTGGCCAGCTCCAGCCCTAATTACATCCAATTAAGCTGCTGGGACTCACAGCCTGTCGGATGTCCTGCAGGACTGTCTGGGGGAGGGGTGTCTGTCTGTGCCCCGCAGAGCCCGGCGCAGACGCCTTGTTCTCGCACACGGGGAATGTGAGGACCTGCACTCATTGGCCAAGCGCGTTCTCCCGAGGGAACACAGATCGAGAGTCAGCCAATGGGCAGGAGGGAGACAGCGTCCCTCTGTCCTCCCCCCTGATTGGGGGAAAGAGCGAGGAGCAGCTGTGTGTGTGCATTCCTGCACAGGCAGCTGGGTGCAGTACTGTCCTCTCAGACATGCCGATTCAACGCAGACACGTTGTTCCTTTTGCTTTTGCCAGCTCACAATAGCACAAATAGCACAAACCTTCAACACATAAAAATCTAAAAGCCTGAATTCTGCTGCACCTCTACTCTGAAGCTCTGGAGGGCCGGGTTGTGTACAAACGAGGGGCTTCCGAAGGAAACTGACAGGAAGCCTGCCTGGGCTCGAGCTGAGCTCTGCGGGTGTTGGGGTGTCGAGTTGCTGGGCGCCCCGGGGCAGCCCAGGCTGCTGAAGGAGTGTGGAGTATGTGTGACTGTGGCTGCTGGGGACGTGTCCCTTTCCCCAGCGTGAGTCTCTAGCTCATTGGTTACTGTAGGAACTGCAGGGATCTAAATGCATGTCCAGCTCTGACACAGGAAATGGGAGCGGGGGCTGTTTCCTGTTTCCTGTGTGGGAGTGGGTGGGTTGGAGAGGGTTGTCACTGGGGCGCAGACAGAGAGCTCGCCGCTCTGAACTGCGGGAGAAGACGGACACTCGGACACGTTCGGCTCTCGCAGGCATGCACGCGTGTGCGTGTGTGTGTCGTTCCCTACACCAGCCCTCGGCCGGTGCTCAGAGGCCAGCTGGGACCCCAGGTCCTGTGGGAGGGTCTCAGTGCCTCATCTGCGCTGCTCCACCTGCCCCTCAGTTCAGAAATACCCCGGCCTGCGTCATTGGGAGAGCTCTGCGCCCGTTAATCACTGCGTATCCTCAGTGCCCTGCGGGCAAGAGAGAGCTCAGTTCTGGCTGTCCCCTGCGTCTGCGCCAGCAGATTAGGTGGTTTCTGTTTTGGTTCCAGATTAGATGGCTTCTTCGTCAGGATTGTTTCTGCTCAGAGTTCAAAGGTGAAAGAAATGTCAGGAACCATATCCATGTCTGCTCTCTTCAACAAAAAGAGAGAGGTTTCTAACCGGGACGCGACTCAACAGTTGTGGTCTTGCTCTTCCATCATCATTCTTCATTGGGACAGTGGCATGTGCCTCCACCTGCTGGACACACAGGGTACGACAGGCCTGAGATAAGCAGCTCCAGCCCTTTACCTTACACCCACTCCTTAACAGGCTTCGCCCAGATCCCCTCCTGACGTATTTATCCGAAACGCAGTGATGAGAACAAAAACCGCTTAATGGTCTCGTGGGGGTAATAGGATCAGCTAATTCTCCTCAAAGAACGGAGGTCAGAAGTGGAATTTTCCTGTTCCTCTTGTGCCCTTTGTTCTGGCCAAGAGGAAACAGGAGGCTCATTACTGTACTATCAATACCGGATTACTTTGTACTTTAAAACGTAACACAAGCTCTTTCCTTCCTTCTCTGTCAGGTGTTGTATTAACTCCTGTCTCTCTCCCTCTCAGTGCTGTGCTCGGAGAGGGTGGGTCAGGTCACCAAGACGTACCATGACATTGAAGCTGTGACACAGCTGCTGGAGGAGGTGAGGATGGAGAGAGGGGTGGGGAACAATTACTGAACAATGTATCTCACAATCTAATTGGCCTGGAACTAACCCAGGTCCCTGTAGTACTAAGCAGAGGACATGAGACCCCAGCTCACGAATGGGACAGTATAGTGGGAGTGGGTCAGATGGTCACCCTGCAGCAGTGCTGTTGTAGCGTCACGTGTCCACATTGGAGACTTAAGCCCACAGCCATCTGTCCAGATCCCAGAGCCGCTATCTCAAGAACCTGTCATGCGCCTTTGCAGAAGGAGCGTGACCTGGAGCTGGCCGCCCGGATTGGACAGTCCCTCCTGAAGCAGAACCGCTCGCTGACCGAGAGGAACGAGCTGCTGGACGAGCAGCTGGAGGCCGCCAGGGAGGAGGTCTGTTTCTGTCCGAAGGCCTGCATCTCTGAGCCTGGGCTGGGGATCAATTCATCCCAAACCACTGGTGTTCAAGTCAGGCTCTGCCCATTGCTGTGTGTGCGTCCGGCCCCGTGCCAGTGCCCCCAGTCTGAGCCCTGCCCTCTGTCCTGCAGATCGCCCAGTTACGCCATGAGCTCACCATGCGCGATGACCTGCTGCAACTGTACGCCAGCAGCGCTGAGGACAGCGAGCCCCCCTCCGCCTGCTCCACTCCGTGAGTAATCACCCACCAGCCTGGCACAGCTCTGACTCCAACACACACAGACTGGCACTGCGGTCCATTCTCACAGCTCCCTGGGCCATGTGCTCAGGATGTCACGGGCTCATGTTGTATCTCATGGAGATTTCATCTTGACACTGAGATCGGACTGCCAGCATTGACAAAGATTCCAATATTAGGAAACTGTTGTTGTCAAGGTACCAAAGTTCGTCCCCTGATGTAGAGCTGTTTGAACTGCTTCTGGTCTTATCAGCTGCTGGGTCTGGGGAAGTCTTTAAGTACTGCTCTAACTTTGAATTATCTCTGTCCTTCTATGTGTTCTTCAGTAATGTCATGCTTCTCAAAGGGATAAGCCTTTATTCTGCTTATTCTCCCAAACCTTCCAGTCTCCGATGTTGGATTAGCCTGCAGCTGGGAACGCCTGGACTGGCTTTGGGTACTGTACAATTGGAATCGGACTGTGACTCCTGTGTTGTTTGCCCCTGCAGGATGAAACACAGTGGGTCGTCTGCCTCCCTCGGTAGCTACTTCCACTACGACTTCCTGCAGCAGAAGCTGAAGGGGCTGGAGGAGGAGAACCTGAAGCTCCGCACAGAGGTGAGAGCCCGAACCCTGCTGCTCCAGCACGGCTGACAGCATCTTCTCCCTTTCCCTGCTGCTTCCCTGCTCTCTCCCCAATTCCTCCCTAATCCCTCCCTGCCACCTCAGTGACACATTCCCTTCTCCCTGATTCCTCCCTGATGTCCACATAGAACAACTCTTAAGTAAAGGTTTGAAAAAAGACAATGTCAGACAAGCATGCTTTTCACTGCGATAGGGTTTTGAGTATGAATGACAGGTGATGATGCAGAGAAGCTGATCTCACTGCTCTTGGTAATGCAGAGAGGAGAGGCAGGTCACAGGGCAGAACCACCTTGGTCTACAATATCGTTTCCAGTTCTCAACTTGCGTTTGCTCTCTCCTCAGTGTGTCGTTTTCTTGTGTTGGTTCAATTCCAGGCCAGAGACTTGACAACAGAAACGACGAACTACGAGGAGCAGGAGCAGCAGCTGATGATGGACTGTGTCCAGGAGCTTGGTACGTCAGGCGAAACGCTGGCCTTCACATTTCTGCTTGAACACAGCGTATTCCTAAATCAAACCATTGTTTTACACAGTGCAACCACGGTGTCTTAAGGATGATTAACAAACTTTTTTGGTCGAGTGTGTTAAAGGCCAAAAGGTGTCCAACTTGGGCCTTTAAAAAGCCTCAGTTAACACACGGGAAGCTTTGCTCTGGAGTGCAGCATTGAGAATCCCAGAGAGGGCCTATAGTACAGCACAGGGTGGCAGCTGTGCAGTGGGTGTGGTCAGGCTTGGTCAGGTCAGAGTGTGGAGGAGCAGCGAGGGGGTGGAACACCACTGACCTGTCCTCCCTTCATGCTCCAGCCTCGGTAAACAAACAGGTGGCACAGCTGTCGGAGGAGCTTGCGAGGAAGGTGGAAGACACCATGAGACAGCAAGAGGAGATCAGCCACCTGCTCGCGCAAATAGTGGACCTGCAGCATCGGAGTAAAGCGGTGAGATAGAGACAAACTCTGACCCAGGACAGCACAAGATAGAGCAGCACAGCACCACAGCCTATAGTACAGCACAGCACAGTATAGCACAGCGCCACAGCCTATAGTACAGCACAGCACAG